GACAGACAAGCACAAACACACAGTGGTGTCATAACTATACCGGGTGTTTTTGCGAATAATTAATTATTAATTTAATTTTTGATTTATATATATACCATAAAATTAAACGCAAGTTTCTTATCTCTTTCTATTCCGACATTGAATTAATTTTTTTTCATATTTATGGTAGGAACTTATATGATCCAGGAATAAATATTTATTAATATAAACACCCGGTAATATTGATATGGGCTAATATTTAGGAGTCATAGGCACGAGGCTGGAAGGATAGCTAAAGCCCACACAAAGCAAATATAAAAAGCTAGTTTAGGGTTATATCGTCACTTCTATCTCTCTTTGAAGACTCACAAGTGATATTGATTCTTATATTTAATTACAATTTTTCATTTGATAATCCTATTCAACAGGCTAGAGCAACTTCACTGCAGAGCTGCGTAATGGTCATTCGCATAATGCGCGATCTTTGTAATCGTGTACCTACGTGGGGACCTTTGAATCCATGGGTTAGTAATTTTTTTTTTCATTTATATTGTTATTATTATTATTATTATTATTATTATTTACGTATATATGTATAATATTATATTATAGGCACTAGAGTTATTGACTGAAAAAGTAATCAGCACAGCTGGAGGACTTCTTAGTCCAGGTGAAGCCTTACGAAGACTTTTGGAGTGCGTTGCTGGAGGCATATTATTACTAGGTGGTCCAGGTAATTAAATCTCTTTAGCAAAGATTATTTTTATTATATTCCCCTTATTTAATATATAATTATAATAAGTTTAACCAATAATACATATGATGAACCCGATGACGAGACTGAGCATTATTATAATACTAACTACTGATCTGGCAATCGAGTTTTTCGATTACTTGTTTTGGTGTTTAGTAATATGTAATAATGCGTAGATGAATTGGCAATCTGATAAACAAATTTTAACAAGACCAATATAATATTGAATTGATCTGACAAATAAGTAATACAACGAATTACTTATTTTCAATTTTAGGATTATCTGATCCATGCGAGAAAGAACCAGTCGATGCGATAGGTAATATGTCAGCTCAACAAAGAGAAGACATAACAGCTTCGGCTCAACATGCACTAAGATTAGTTGCATTTCGTCAAATTCATAAGGTTCTTGGTATGGAACAATTACCACCACCAAAATATAAGGGTAGATTTGCGAGAAAGCGAAGACGGGACAATAGCAACGGAGAAGGGACTGACAGTGAAGCTTCTAAAAAGGACAAAAAAGCTGAGGAGATCAAAATGGAGACTGACTCCAAGTAGATCTACTAAAAGAACACATTCGCATTATGAATTTACCCATAACTTATATAATATAAGAAAACTTTCCCTCGTGTCAATTGCTTGTTTAAAAAGATATACTTATGAATTAGGATGAGACATTAACATGAATAGAAAATGAAACTTGTAACTCTTGCTAGAATGACTTCACAACAAAATAATAATAATGATGATGATTATGATAATTACGATGATGATAATAACAGGCAAACATATTTTCACATTACACAAGATATATAAATTATATATTAATTGTTTATATAATTAATATTTAATTTTTAATTTCAAAAAGACTTAATTGTTTTTTATGAAAATCTATTAGTTCAATATTTAAATATTGTAATTAATATTTTATTGTATCTTAAGAGGTAGTATTTATTTTGAAATACGGGTTAATAATACTTTCTCTTGATGTCTCTAGTATTCATTATAGGTTTTGTTTTTTTCCTCTTCCTGCAGTTATATTTTAAGGGTTTTATCGCGAATTGAATAATCAGCTATTATCCTCAAATTCATTCAATGAGATTGACATGTTAACGTGTGAAATGTAAGACCACGATCTTCTTAAATGTCAAAGAAAAATAAGAAGATGCATGTATCTTTAATGAAATATCTCCATGATAATATTAGGATTATTATTATTATTATTGTTGATCTTTCCCAAACAGGCAATTGGTACGATTAGCGTCAATAATAGGTTTTGTCGAAGGAAATGATGGATGCATTAGTTTTGAATACATATTTAGCTATGTTTCAAAGTTAAATAGTGTAATGATGCAGAAAATTTGGGAATTTAATTGGAAAAACAAAAAATGAAATTAAGTGAAAAGCAATGGTGATTGATGATGATGATGATGATGATGATGACGACGATGATGATGATGATGATGATGGTGATGGTGGTGGTTCATGATGATGATGATGATGATGATGATGATGATGATGATGATGATGATGATGATGATGATGATAATGACGACGATGGTGGACATTTTTAAGTTTGATGAAAGCTAATTGTAGGTCTAGGATATGCAAAGATTTTGTGTGTATGTTGTGTGTGTAGTCATACATTAGTGCAAAGCAATCGGGCTGCACTGAATTCACTTATTAGCAACAGCATACGACTATTCCGCGTACATTGACTTAAGCAGAAGATTCCAAGAATGTACATTTTATTTACACAAGTCGATCGACGCTTAAAATAGATTAAATCAGGTAAATTATTATTACCACGAACGCGTTGTTGAAATAAAAGAAATTCAATTCCGAGTTTCTCAGTTCTGTTCTAAATCTTTTCGTACCGGTTATTAAATTATGAGAGAAAAACAAAATTAATTACCTTTTTACAAATAATATTCCTTTTTTTTTTTTTGTTCCATTGTGTGTATGGATCTTCTGTTGTACTTTGAAGTCATCATTGAATAAACCCACATGCATGATAATAAATATGTAAATTTTCCTTCTTCACTTCTCCACATACCTATGTATATGTGTTATGAAATAGTTTTTTCATAATATAAATATATATATATATTTTTTTTGATAACTGAAAACTTTTCTAATGCATCGCTATTGCACATTTCTATACATTAATTCATAATTGAACTAGTAAGAAGAGGCCACACACACAATAGTACAGCAGGAACATATGAAGTATAAAACGAACGAAGAATTAACAGCTAAATGGAAAAGTTTGAATTATATTTAACAATCTGATGATTTGACACAGAATCGTGATTGGATTTAAAATAATAAATATTATCTTTAGATGATGTTCTCAATTAGTAAAATATAATATGGAATGGTCAAAGAGTAAACAAAAATATTTCTCTTGTGCATAGAACTTTAAAGATCATTTAAAAGAAATTATCTTGAAAGTTTCACTTAAAATGAAGTAAGAGAGTATTTGTCAATTAAATAAGATTTTTCTTTTTAATGTACTTTCTTCTTCTACTTAACAAATTTAATTAAGTATATATGTGTTTCAAAACGGTACCAAGATGAACATGGCACTATCATTTCCCCTATTTTACAGTATTAAAATCTTAAACTTATTTGTAAATAACCAGTGTTAGTATTTCATTTTTTGTCTCGCTAATGTATTTTCCATCCATCCCCCTCAATAGTAGAATACTTCACTGTCATGTGATGTAAGATAAATACTATAGTTTACCCTGTATTCTTATGGATCATTTAAGTTTTGTACATATGCGTTGGATAAAATTAACCAAAAAAGAAAGGAAAAAAGTTATAAATTAAAAGGGGGTAATCTTGAGCTCTTTTAGAAGATCAAAGTAATACGTTTAAAATTGTCAAACTTATTTAATCGTCTTAAACTATGCTAACAAGATTAATTTAATATTCATTTTATCTCTCTTCGCGCGATACAATTTTTTCTTTTTTCGTTTATTAAAAATTCAAAGCAATTCAGGAAATGCATTCCACGCTATAACAAAATGTAAGTTAAGTATACCAAAAGAATTGATGATAACGAATATATTTCCCTTCTTCTCCATTACATCTGCATGAGAACAAAATATTTACGAAGGGAAATAATTCGAGTATTTGAACACGCGACTTTTTATAATTCTTATAGTTATCACGATTATTCACTTTCATATACTTGTGTTTACTTGTACTTAATTCTTAAGTATTTGGACAAAAATGTACAGTATTTAGTTCCTCTTTTTTTTACCTGACATATACTAATATATATGAATTTTAACGAGAAATTCTTGAAGTATGGTATATAGTTATATTAGGTTGAAGAACTTAATATATATCTAATGTATATCTCTCTTTCTCAATTGTATTTCTACGTTTCAAATCATCTTTTTGTTCGTAGATTGTTAGATTACCTATCATTACTCCTATAAAATTTGTGATTTATTCTTGTTTTATTTTAATAATACATAACGTATTAATTACAACAGTGCGACCAAAAGTATTTGTCTAATTATATAGGTATATACGTATCATATTTTTTTGTTAAGTTATTTTGGGTAAACAAAAACAGTATAATTAGTGTCTTTGTAATGACTTTCAAATGATATTCTAGGTAAGTATATAATTAATTATTTTAAACATATTATTTAATAGAAATGTAAAATAATACTTTTGTTAATGTTTCAATGTTATTTGTATTTATTTGAAGAAATATTTAATAATATTAAATAAAAAAAAGAAAAAATATTTTCAAGTCATTCTTTGTATCCAAAACTACATTGTGTTATATATATATTTGATTTATTTTTAGTATCCAGAAGTACAAAGAAATATCCGATTTTCCTTGGAAATATAAATAGTTATTTTTTTAAATGCATCATTAAAGAATAAAATGCATCAACAAATGAATATGAGTAAACAAAAATTTATGTTGCATCATATTTACGATTATTGCGATATTTCATGAGTCTACAGTATTGAATGAATATTTCCTATTGTATTAGTAATCTTTTATAAATACGAAGTTTTTCGAGATAGTACTAGAATATGATTAATGAATTATTTGAAATGAGTTGCAATATTTTTATTGCATGCATATATGCTTTTAGATTCACGTATCAAATATTGAAATGAGCTTTGTAAGTAAATGATGGAAAGATATTATTATAGAATGAAATATATATAATATAGAATCATTTTAATTTATTTGACTTTTATAATAATATTTAAGAACTAGCAGAGAGCAAACTAGAATAGAAAACAAAGATGTTTGCTGTAAAACAATAAGTCTTGTCATTTTTCCTTAAAAGATAAGGAGAATTTGATTAACATTGATCTACTTCGTATGCATACATATGTTATATACGATTATCTATTACATTCATTAAAGCCAACGATAATGCAATTGTATATATGTATATGCAGATATTAAATATTGGTTTACATTTATTGATTTGTTAAGAAGGATGACTTTTTTCTTTTGTTAGTTTAACAGCGCTATCTATTTCCGGTTCTTAGAAAGACGTTATATAAAATATTAGGCTTATTGAAGAAGCATAAATTAATTAATCAAATTTCCAGTTAAACAAGGTAACCAAATATTGTATTAATCAATTGATGTATTAAATATATTAAAAATAAATAGATTTAATGAGTTAGAAAGGAGAATATGAACTATTAAACGGATAAAGGATACTCTCCATTTTTCTTTGTTTGATAGTCCAATACGATGTTGCTACGCAAACAGTTTCTCGAACAACCAAGTACGTTGTGATCCAATCAGCTTTTCCCAAGAATTTTCTCGAACCAATCATATGCAGCTGCTGCGTCATTCTACCACGGCTATATAAAAGAAAGGGTATCATATCTCGCTTCAGTTCTGTGGGAATCGCTAAAGATAGTCTTTGTGAATCTATTTGCTGTGACATTTTGATAAATTATCTTTGATTTTTGCAAAGCTACATTACATTAGAACCAGGTGAGTTTATTTGTTAACATATTAAATCTATACTTACGAATTTGTATTTTTTAAAAGCTAGTGTAATCGAAGTAATTATATGTTTCATCGATTTATATCAATGTCATTTGTATTATAAGATACTGTTATACGACTTTCTTTTTTTTTTTTTTTTTATTCTTTTCTAATATTAAAGCGAATAATAAATATGGTTAAATTATTATGAAATAATCTCGACTCTTCTTAAAAATCATATATTAATTAATGTAATTAATTATATATATATATATTATAAATAAATGAAAATATATTATTTGTCATATATTATAAAAAAGTAAAAGAAAAACTGTGTTGTAACTGACAATGATCATGCAAAGATCGATTAAAATTTGTGCGCAGTAACAGAAAACAAAATGGTGGATATTGATCCAGTTAATGACGCAACTACAGCCGTCAGCTTTATACTTGTATGACTTTCCATACGAGTACGTCAGCCATCTTACTGCTTAGTTGATCGAACTATTTTTTATTTTCTTGTAAATTACTGCATGTAATATCAATTTGATTTTAATTGTAACGTTGAATTTCTGTTTTTAGGAAATATGCAGATCTTTGTAAAGACTCTGACGGGTAAAACCATAACCCTCGAGGTCGAAGCCTCTGATACTATTGAAAATGTAAAAGCAAAAATCCAAGATAAAGAGGGTATCCCACCAGATCAACAAAGATTAATCTTTGCTGGAAAACAACTTGAAGACGGGCGTACATTGTCTGATTATAATATCCAAAAGGAATC